TTTTTATTGGTATAAGCATCTTGATATTAATAAACAGGAAATTCCCATTAAGATGCCAGAATGTTCGTTTTCTTCCAAGAAGCGCTTTCGATTAGGATTTTTATTGAACTCATTAGGAAATTCCTACAGCAAATTAAACTGAGTTCGAGATGGTATCAGGCTTAAGCCATAAGATCTCCTTTTAAACAGCGCCCTTTCAGCTCATAATAGTTTTCTGCTCTTAATACCCTTCTGGATGGTTTGCCTCTTCTCCTTTTCTGACTTTCTAGAAAGTTGTTTGTCAGAGACACTGCAAGAATATATTAAAGTCTTCTCTTTCCGTATGAACTTATGAAATTTCCATAAGTTTCCAATTCGCTGTATGGATCACGAATCTTTTTGGTGAATGTCTTTTAATATTGATATTCCGTTGGGTTGAGAGCTTTTATTTAATATACCTGGGATTATGTGTTGCATATTTTTTAAGCTTTCATACCAATACTTTAATTTTAGTCAAGGAAATAAAGACAATTAAATTGTTTATCAATTAAAGATGGAATAACTCTCACAGAAACTTTTATTCCATAATCTCGGCAATGTCTACATGAATCATCTCTCTTTGCTTTTTTTTCTATCAATTTATTCAGCCAAAATGGTAAGCTTTTTATTTGGATTATGATAGAACTTATTTGGTGTTTCATACATACATCATTAATTTCATTTCACAATTAAATCTTGACAAGGCAACCAATTGAATCTTATATGGAATCTACAAAAGTCTAACAACTTAATGCATTATTTGGAAGTTATTAAATAAACAAAAATATAAAATTAGAATATAGAAATCTATCGTTTGCTCTGGAAGTTGACTCTATCCATATTTATACATTTCCCTCGCACAAATCCTCTTTATACAATATTCCGTAATACATTTCTTTTACAGTTACAATTAAGCATTTCAAGTGGGTGAATATAATAAATTGTGAATAATATATAAAGACCAGTATTGCGACAAATGTTCGCAATTAAAACGGTGCCAATGAAGGCTTTGTTCCGTTCGAAATTGAATATCAAATGTCAGAACAGAGCGTAAACTTGCCAAATGCCAAACTGGTTTTTTCTGCCCAAAAAAGCAACACACATTTGCATGCAAGAAATAAATGAAATCAATGCATACACACATACACACAAACACACACACATACTACTAGCTACGCGAGAGAGATACCAGAGACAGACCCCCAAAGTGGTTTGCCTTGGTTTGATATATGACTCGAGAGTGCACAGAGTTCGCTTGGACATTAGAAACCCGTACAGAAAGACAGCTGATCGGGCTGCTGACGCATCTGCTTGGGCAATTTCATTAAAGTGAACAGGTTAGGACTGGGGTTTTTTTCTGCTGCATTGTGATGAAGTTCAAGTGGGTTCTATAACTACATTAATAACTATTGGTGACCTTAATTACGGCCACATGGCCCTCCTCTGGAACGAAGTTCGAGGCTGAAATAAGAAAAAAAAAACTCAAAGGCAACTCAAACAAACTTGCTGAAATACATTTTCTCTGTCTAGCACGGAGGCAGCATTAAAGTTTATGACAATTTAATTAGTTTAATCGATGCGATGAGATGAGGAGCTAGTGGTAGTCGGTGTGCGGCTACCTGCTTGGATATTTATGGAAAGCATAAAACTTAAGTGTTGCATAAGTTGGGAGCCAACGATGGGATCGGATAGGATCGGTTGGCCGGGGCTGGTACTGGGGGTCTTTAAGCTGCTTTAATAGTTTGCTTTGGCTGGCCGATGATTAATGCTTATTGCCCATTGCCCTTTTAGCATTCTTGGCCCTCTCCCATACATTCGCACACATAACTGTAAATCGTTAAAGTTATTAAACGCAATTACTGTCAATAGTATTGGGTATTTTTGTTCAGTCCGTAATGAATTGCACGAATTTCGCTGTTTGGGGCCAAGAACCAGACAAATGCGAAAGTTCAAAGACACCCAGAAAGAAGAAAAAAACTGTATGTAGACCCATACAGAGGGAGGGAGATGTGTATCATTCATTTGCCATTAACAAAATATATTTATTTTACGCCTTTCGTTTTGTTTCGATCGAAATCTTGGAAAGCTCTTAATAGGATTTTGTATTTTACATATGTTTCGTTGCCGCCCCAAACATACGTGCCTCGAAAACGTGAATGGGTTCGATCTCCCCCGATGATGTGTGCGGAATAAATTTTGATGATCTCATGTCGTATGTCGACTCCAGGGCGAAACACTTAAGGTGACATAAAAATGCTTGTGGGAAAACTGACCAAGATCTGGGCAGCACAACTAAATGGGAAAAGAGCCGAGACCCAAAGATCTTTGCTCTGGAAAAAAGGGAATCGCATCGTAAAATGTATATGGGCTGCGACAAAGTTTTAATGTTAGGGTAGTCCAGAACTATAGTTAAAGTCTATAGACATTACACTTTTATTACAAACTGAAGTAGGTCGTAGGCATTTTTATGGCCTGGGGATTTAGTTCTAGGCTGGCAGTAAGAGCATTTAAATTTCATTCGGAAATGAGAGATGGTACTACTCTGAGTATGCTATTTTAACGACTTTCTTTATTGCTTACAAAATTGTCTGAAATACATAAATTAATTGCATTATGGGATTGGGCACTTGGCCAAATGATTGCATCACTTGTTGGTTTTTTACACTACCAAAAACCATTTCACAAATTCATGAAATACTCGCGTCAGACAGTCTTTGGCTTGGGCTTCTTTGAGATATTTTTACAAGCGACGAGTTACCAAAAATAGTCAATTAGCAAATGATTCAGTTCGGGTTTATTTTGATTATTTATTGACAGTCGACTGTTATGTGCTCAAGAAAACAGAAATCTCGAAGGAGAGAGAGAGAGAGAAGTTGAAGAGTAGAGGCATTTTCGTAAAGAGCCCAGACCAAGCCCAGTTGAGGGTAGTGCAAGCCGGGCCCGGTCCGGGCCATAAATTCCAACAGCTTTCACTTGACTTGTCGCCATGTAAAGATACGCGATCTTTTTTTGTTGTATTATTTTGTGATATTTTTTTTTCATTGCTCTAAAGTATTTATTTATTTATTTAGTTATATCTGTGGTGGGGCAGTAAGTGCATCATGTATTTTCGTGCTGTAAGTTGGGTTAAGCCAGCTGATTTGCCACACTTTGGTTTTGAGCACGTCAAGTTCGTGCCTTAAGTCTTTCGTTTCGCTTGCCTGGTGGCCCGTTGCCACGGATCTGCATGCCTATAGCCCTGCAGCCACTGCTGCCCCGTTGCCACGCATCTGGATACCTTTATATTCGTATACCCAACGGTTGGTGGCTGCTGTTGGTGGAGCGTATGGTAATAATAATTTTGCACGGGGCAAACCGCTCCTCTGTAGCACTGTTGGCGGCATGCAACTTTGTAGGTAAATTGCGCTTAATGATTATGTTCAGTGGACTCTCCAATACATATACAATGTATGGTATGGAGGTGTTGGAATTTATGTCTCTTTCTGTCCTTCTTCGATTCTGAGTGGTCTCTGAGGAGGCGAACGGGAACCTCATCAGGATGTATGGTTTTAATTCAATTAGTTGGCCTACCGCTGCAATTAAATTTTATAAATAATAAAATTACTTAATATTAAGTCGAACCTGCCTTCTGCTGCCCCTGCTGCTGTGTCGTGCCCAGCCCCGATAAATATTGAGTGTTTTTTATTTATACTTATTTTTATACTGATTTAAATTCAAGGCTGTGGTCATTCAGGCATTACGGCAAACATTTGTTTGCAATTCTCTACGACGCTGTTTGCGATTACTCTTTTTAAAATATCTGACAAAACTAGAAAGAAACGTGTCCGCATAGTTGAAAGACCGGATAAATCTCTGCGAAGTAATTATGCAAAGAGAAAATCAACAACAGATTTGAATGCTGTCAAATAAAGTTTCGCAAAACAACAACACGCCTTGGAAATATTTAAATAATAAACAAAAGCCCAGGTATAAAGGAAATAAATTAAAATATAAGCATACATATTGATATAGGGAAACAAACTTGACCCAGGTATTATTATTCCCCTCCTCTCAACATTAAATATAATTGTCTAGACGAAAAATGGATAATTAATACTGGTGAAAAAATCAAATAACTAGACATTTTTTCCCCATTTGCCGCCCTCAAGTATTTTGCAGTTACTGTTTGACCTTCGAGGGGCGGTAGACATTACCGTCGCACATCAATGAGCAGCAAAAGCTATATAAAAAACCTGTATATTGTATATATATCTTCGAGAAACATTAGAAAAAGTCTAACAATTGATTGACTTTGGCTTTGCTGATGAGCAGATAAATACATATTTATACTCGTAACGAAGACACGTCAATAAATCTTGATTGAAATTAAACGCTTCACTAATTATAAATAAATGTGCTTAGCAATCAATGAGATCAGACTCTTTAGGAAACTGTTTGCGTGGAATGAGAGTAGTGGCTACATTTTTACATATACATTTGTTTTGGTGCACGAAAGAGTCCTTCGGACTACTTCATTATCGAAGAACTCTCATGCTAATAAGCCTCAAAGGAGCAGAAACCAAATAGATATTGGGCAAGCCATATTCTGAAAACCACTTGAGACACCACAAAAGACCTACAAATTAATTTGCTTAAATAAAAATAATTAATGACTAATATCAGTATAGAATGTTTTGTCAAAGGAAAAGGCTAAAGAATAATTTCTGTACTTTTCTCAGACTAGAAAACATAATTCTCATGGAATTTTCAGCTAAATCATAGGCGCCACCTTATAGCATATTTTACCAAAATGTTTACTCATAATCATGTTTTGGAAACCACAATAACAAAAACAAATCAACCACAAAACTCATAAAAAATAAATTAAGTGAAATGAAAAGCAATAAATAATTTGCCAATCAGCGTACATTTGAAACTTGTTTTGTGGTTTTCGGCTAATGATTAGGACAAATTTTACATTCAATTAGTGGGGGATTACTTACCAATAATTTGTTGTTACTCATTTCTCCGCAAAACAAAATTTGTTGCCCGGTTTGAGATGGAGACTTTCTGGTTTTCTTTATGATTCTCTAGTTTTATTTTATGTTTCTTTTACTCACTGCACTGTAATTGATTATATTTGTGGAGCTTCAGAGACTCACTTCACTTGATAAACACACACTTAAATCACAAGTAGGAGTACTCTAAATGGGTTTCTTCTCTCTCTGGTTTAGAGATCTGCAAAAGGATGGCTGGGATGGTCAGTGGCTGGATGGGAGTTGAGTGGGATGGTTTTGCAACGCCAACGCATTCAAAAATCAATTGCTCTCAATTGGAGTGGCCATAAATAAGCAACGGAGAGAACATATATCATGCAGATACAACAGCAACTCAGATGCAGACACTCGTACAAATTGCAATGGCCCATTGCCGATCATTTGTTGTGTTGGCGTTTAATTTGCCAATTGTGATGAGTTATAGCGAAGAAGATCCCGAGCTGAACTGCACTGCACTGCACTGCACCGATCCGACCTGACTTGATCTGTTTGTATAGACAATTCGATTCAGCAACATGAACTACATCCAGCAGCGGCAGCAGTCTCAGCCTCAGCAACAGCAGCAGCTTCATTAAGCGCTAAATTTAGACAGCCCCCAGAGTCCATAGAGCCCTCGAACCGGATATGGCTTAATGCAGAGAGAACCGATATCCAAGACCCTAGATCTGGCAGCAGCAGCAGTAGCAGCAGCAGCAGAGGCAGCGTTCCACCAGCATTCAAACAGCGTTCAACTTTATTTAAACACAATTATTTGCTGGGGCCAGGCCCAGAGCTGGGAGTCGTCTCCCTGGCTGCTGTTCACTTACACATAAATTTGCATGTGCAACAAATTTGCTGCAGCTTCGCTTTTGGATATTGCTGCCACCGCTGATGCTGATGCTGCTGCTGCTGTTGTTGCTGCTGTTGATGCTGCCGTTGCCGTTGATGTTGTAATTTAGTTAATTTTGCCTATTCCAAGGTGGCAGGGAGCCCAAAGAACAACCCATGTCAGAGACCCAGTCCCCCAGACCTCAGACAGACACAGACTCACAGCCAGGGCTCGTGCCCGGCCTTTCTGGCTCGCGTTTTTGTTCTCTTTTCTTTTGGCTTTTATAGAGTTGTTGGCTTTTGATTGCGTTGGCGTTGTCCCTGGATATTGTTCGTTTTGCATGTTCTCGTGCTGTTTCACTTTTTGTTTTATTGCCGACAATTTGGCTAATTATATATAGGTAGCGACAAAATATTGTTGTTCATGATTTCACTTATGTTTATTGCAATATGCCATTTGTCAATTTGGAAATTGCTAAATTATGCGATTGGAAAAGTGTGTTATAGGCAACTTTGAAAGCTTTTTTATTAAATTTATTTTGTATTGTTTTATTGTTTGCAGAAATAATTCACAAAATAGTTAATCAAAAAAATAAATGTGTTTTAAGTACTTTGAACTCATCCAATTTTATTCACAAATAGAATTGTTGGCTTATTTTTAAATGTTAATTCGTTAATTCGTAAGCAACCATTTTTAAATCATTTAATGAATCATTTTAGAAAAACCTTCGTTGTTGTGCAAAGTAAGGAAAACATCTATTAAACAGTTCAAGTTTTCAATTTTTAAAACATTTTTGAACTTGTTCTTCAATTTAGATATTTGTGAACAAATATTAATTTTAAGGTTATTTGACACAAAAATTAAAAATGTTATTAAATTCGTTTTAGCTATAAGCTTTATTTTTTTTTTTTTATTCCAGGAGTGATAATTATTGCATTATATTTTATGAAAGTTATTATTAGGATTTGAATTAATTTTTTTAAAGGTTGTGAAAAACGTTTAATTTGTTTTTCATTTACACTTCAACACTACAAGTTTCCAGTTCCCCACAATCTCTTATTGTTAATTTTGTATAATATTTGCAATTAAAATTAATGAATGTAATTAAATAAAACGTGAAGTAAAGCGCGCACACATGAAATCGATTTGAGACGAGACGCGATTTTCTGTGTAATTTTTCTTTTTATTCGCAACGATGCGCGCAGACGACTTGGCTGGTTATTAGGCACGACTCGGAATGCGGCAAATGGTCCAGGCATTGCCCCAACAAACCCCCAAAGTGGCAGCTCGTAAGCCAACCAAATGACGTAAGCCCGATCCGTCGGTCAACGAACGAGAACAACGTAAGGAGATCGGTGTTGAGACGACGCAATGGAGCTGGTAAGAGGTACGAGGGCACCCTCTCAACTTACAGATCCACCAAAAAACCGCTTCACACGTTGAAGTTCGCAGCAAGACTGAGGTCGCGCGCGTCTCAGAGCCGATATTATAAGCCACAAGCCAAGTCTTGGCCAAAACCAAAAACCGGCAAAAGAAACCCAACCTCACCACACTTGAACTTGACCAAATGCACAAATTGCAGAGGCGGCCTCAGCAGCACGTGAGCATCTCGTAAGAGAATGAGGCGCCCGTTTGAGAGGCAGAGTATCTGAGAGCTCCACGGCGAGAGAGTGAGAGAGAGAGATTCGTGGAAAGAGAGCGCACTGCCTCTCGCAAGTAAACAAACCGTTTCCAGTGTCAGAAATTGACAGCTGGAAATATGCTCTCCGCGAACAAGTTTTCTCTTGCCGAATCACGTGGCCGGCTTCGGTTTGTTTTGGTTTTACGGCCTTTGACGTCATTGTTTTGACAATTCCAATTGGCAACAGAGAGCGGGAGAGTGAGCAAGCGAGAGAGCGAGAGAGCGAGAGCACAATCAAACATTCCGGTCTCGTGGTGAGTTGGCCATACTCTCTGGGGCCACAACGAATGACTTAGACAACGAACTTGACTCGTGTGTGCTGACGCAACAAAAAAAAGAAGGCAAACGAAATTAACAAAAATGCGAAAAAAATAACATGAAACAAACGAAAAAAAAAAAAAAAATCATATTGAATTTCATTTTAAGCCGCTGGGCGTGCAAAACTTTGTTCTTACGCTAAGCCGCACATTTTTCTGGCTTTGAAATCAGCTTAAAATCAACGCCTACGTGGGTGTCCGTCACCTCTTCGCAACACCGCAAGATTTGCCGACATCTCTTTGGACCCCCAACATAAATAACCATCTGCTTATTGATCGTGCTGGAGTTTTGGCATTCAGTTTCATTTCGTGGTATAGACAATCGATGGAATGACATCACACATGATCGATCATTCTGAAAATGCATTAGAAGTTTGAGTAAATGAAACTGCAGTGAATGAAGTTCTTGTGGTTTTTGTGGAATATGACTCAAGCTGGGGCTTAACTAATGGAAAAGTTAGCATGACTCTCGATTGTCATGGCAAATTACTATGCCTATAACTTGTTTGGAAAGTTTTAATTGTCAGAATGATTCATTTGTGGTACTATTTTGCGACGATGTCATGTTTTCTTCAGCTGAAAATCTAAGTGTGATTCAGAGGGACAAAATAGGTTTTTTGTATGAATTTTCTTATGCAACTTCTTGCATACCCTTAACCAAAAATAATGGTTCACTGTTCTGCCTCCATTCTGACAAGAAATAAGACCACCAACAATTAGTTGGGAAAAGAACATATAAGGATAATTACCTCAACCATCGGAAAACGCCAATTTTAAATATAATAGTAAAGCACTTAAAACTAAATAATCATGATCTCTGTACATGAAAAGTTGCCCAAAACTCTGGCTACTGATTTCGCAATCTGAGAGAACGGCCAGCATCAAAGCAACCTTCCGTATGCTGGTATGGTCTGAATATCTTTTAGCAACTCGCATGTGAAGTCAGTGGTGGCTGATGGATAGCCTGGGCGTTCGGACAAGGTGTTCGTCATAGTCAGAGCTTCGCCAAATCGTGCCTCTGTTGACCTGGTTGCATAACCGCCAGCCCATTTCCTACACCTACACGTAGCCGCGTAGGTTGTGGCAATTAGTCAAATGCATTCGCAAACAAAAAACCACAAACAGAAGCCACAAAGGCCCAGCACTTGACTCTCATTTGCGCCTGTTGAATGGCTTTGTCTAATTGAATTAGCGCCATTTGGAAATACATATTTCCACACCGATTTTTATGCGCGCATTTAATTATGGATTTGGCATTGAGGATGCGCAGAGGATGCAGCAAATTTGCTTAAGGTTCGTGGGCCTAAAAACTTGATCCACACTTTACGGCTGGTCTCGGAGTCTCGGAGCTCCTTATGGCTTTAGCACTATTTTTATTAGCACAGACAATGTAACTAATTTTCTTGGAGTATGGGGGGGGGGGGGGATGGGAGAATTATATTTTATGGCCGGGAACGGACTCTGTCCAGGATGATATGATGATGGTGCGCGATGCGTTGACAAGCCACTGGCGGTGTGAAGTGGCTGTGGAGGTGAAGAGGCCTCGGCCAGAAGATGTCAGTTTCAATTTGAATGCTCAACTTAATCCGCGCGTCATTCAGATCCAGACGAAGAGCCATCTGTACACTGTGTTCCCATGGCATAAGAGTTGATGCCCTGGCTAGGCAATTTGCGCGGCGGCTCGGCATCAAAAGCAAAACCCTGGCATGTCCGAGTCAAGTGCCAGCAGAGTCTCAGCCGGAGTATGGGTATATTCAAAATTAATTTCAACCAGAGCTAAAAATTTTTTTAATTATGGGTTTGCAGTTACATTGAGATTCCTCCCCAAGCCAGGGGTTTCTAGACACAGAGCTTCGGAGGTCTCTGGTCTCTGGTCTCTGGTCTCGGTTGACTGCATGATCTCTGTGGTCTAGGAGGGGGCTTTGGTGCTGTGGCAGTTCACGCACAACTGTTCCAAAGGATCCATTTGGGCGGCGTAATTGAATTCCAGGTAAGACCCCGGCCCAGAGCTGAGGGCTCTGAGCAGTGTGGTCTTGTGGCATTGAAAATGGCAAATTGATTTGTTTTACAGCGGCGTGGATAACGTGTTTGTTTTTACAGTTAAAATTGAAAAATGAAACTGTTGCATGTTCGGTGCCAATTAAAGATGAATCTTCCATGTCCTCTTCTGCCCCCAAATAGGTAGCAACTTAAGTAGCTTTAATGAAGGGTTTGTCTGGGTTAATCTGCCGCAAGGGTTTTTCATTTTTGCTCTGACTTAAACAAAGAGACAGACAACTTGATGATGGTACAATCCAGGACAGTACAGAACAGTGTACAGTTGTGCTCAGCCAGTTAAACAGTCAGACAGTTAGGTGAATCGTCTGGTTATCGTCTGTCCACTGTCTTATGTCGAGCCTAACGGCAGCTAAGCGAAATGATTGATTGAACACCCACCAGAGACAGCCAATTAAGCCATTGACATACTTTTTCGCTCTCTCCACGAAACGGACTGATCAATCCAAGTGCAGTCAACCAATTACGATGACTCCAGGCATCCAGAATCGTTCACACATAACTGCAAATTCATGACCGAATATTAGAAGACACAAAAAAAAAAGAGCTCATAGATCTGCAGATTCTCGGGCTCAAGAAACCAGTTGCTGATCGCTGCTCATCGGTCATTTGACTGCTCAAGTGTCGTCTTAGTTTTTGGACGTGTGCCAACGAGAGGCAACTGAATTTGCAGCCACAGCGATCCGAAAGCCATTAAAAATTATATGAGTGGAGGGGTGTCTCACACACACACACACACACACACATGAAAAGGCAGTAGACACTGGGCACTGGGTGGAGCTGCAGCCGCACCCAATTCCCCGATCCTGATTAGCGCCAAGCAGACGACTCTGAGACGCCATAGATGACAGCCTTGTGGCTGCGACGGCCCCTTGGATAGGAGTACCTGCACGTGTGCCCTGGTCTGGCATTTGAATGCTAAGTGATTGGTTAATTTCCAGTTGATAGCCTTGCACTGGGTCCCTCTATTTGAAAGCCCTTAAAAGAGGAAGATAAGAGTTGGCACATTCTCGCAAGAATGTTTCTAAGGGAAATTATATATAGATATGAGCTCCCCAGCTATACCCTGTACATGATTACTCACCTCGAAAATTCCAATCTGAAGCCCTTCTGTAAGTTGCACTCCAACGCATATCAAACACAGTCACGGGCTGTCGAAAGCAAAACCGACTCCTATTAACATAAATACCTTTACGTGGAACGTGCAAACATTTGAGGAACCCTCTGCAAATGGCATTCAGTGACAAATTAGCAACTAGACTTTCCAGCTGTCAGCACTAGAGATCCTAATGAGCCACGAAAAGCCACCGAAGGGCCCTTAAAACGGCAGCCATTTGTAAATGCTAATTAGAAAAGCAAGTTGCAGTGGCAGTTGCTATTGAAGTTGCAGTTTCACTTGGAGTCGTTTGGAGTTGCTTGCCTCCAGTGCCAGTCATAAATTGCTTAGGATCTGCGTACGGACCAGATCCAGACTCCGACTCAGAGCCAGAGCCAGACTTAGAGCCTGTCCCCTGCCAGCAAATCACATAGGCAAATGAACTGTCAACTGGAATGTTTGTGCCTCTCCTTGTGGCATGATATACGACATGGGCTGTGTGTGTGAGCCAAATAACATACGCAAATAATAAATCAGCGGATGCAGAGGCACCAAACTTCAGCTCCTTGAGTGGCCCAGGCTAGCCGGCGGCAACTGAAAAGCGAAAACAGCTCCAGCGCGGCAGTTAGAACATATTTTTCCTGTCAATTTCGTTGCTGAGAGGCGCGAATCTTGCAAGCCCCTGTCTTACCTCATTTGCCACGCCCACACATTTGTTAGAGTCGAAAAGTGAGCCTCGCTTTTATGGTGTGGTAGTGCTGGGTGCTAAAATGTCTGAGGAAAAAACCATTTCTAATGAGCTCCGTTTGTTTGTTTGATTAGCGTCGTCGAGTGCCAATGTCAATGAACATTGATCCGGGTCTTCGAGAGAGACACGAACTAACCCCAAGTATCGCCATCTAAAACTCTGTCTCTGTCTCCGACTCTCTGGTCTGGTCTTTGACTATGTCTTTGCTCGAGACCCAGACGCAGACGGAGACCCAGACCAGGCTTGTTCCCGTAGCAATTCAACGCAAATTGCAAAAATATGCCGAAGAAACAAAGGCAGAAAACTCATCCACAAAACAATCATAACACTGACCTCAATTTCCTGCCAGCCGCAATCACATTTCCTAGCCAGTTCTCTCGGTTCTGTAATTCTAATCAGATGCACAGAACGAGCAGCTCCGCAATTATGATGGACGGTCTATGCGATGGCATAGTGGGCATACGCAGGAGGCATTGTAAATCTTTTTAGAATAATAAATAAATCTCAGAAAAACTTGAAAAATTTACCATAAAATTGTGATGTTTAATAAAAATATTAATTTATTTAATGAATATAAAATACATAATTTAAATGGTTACCATTATACTTTTTCACACACAATTATTCAATTTTCTGGAGCTGCTTCCACTTTCTTGCTTATTTTCAAACCACTGTGCGCATGGCCAGGGCAATTGTAGAACATGAAAAATCAATAAAACTACAAAGAAATTTCTTTTGGCCAGAGGTAGCGGCGGTGTGTACGTGGAATGGCATTTCTATTTTGGACGATGATTTGCTTTTGATGATGCGCACGAACAGGAACGGAACCGACCAGAAGAAAGAAGAGAGCTGAACCACAGACCAGCAGGGAGCAGGGAGCAGTGGGGGAACAGCAGATATATCGACAGGTAAAGTCAAAAAGTAGCACAGCAATTGGCACAGAATTGAAAATAATTTGCATTTAATGCGGCATTCGCCGCGTAGGCTCCAATACGAACGAAGGTTTCTGCCCCAATCCGAAGCTGAAGCCGAAAGAGCCACAGATCTTAGAGGGTTGGCCGACTTGGGCATTATGCACTAATGTCGGTCCAAGTTCAAATCATTAGGCGCATACTCGTAGTAGTTTTCTCCTGTGTGTCTGCTGCTGAACCAAAATCGAGGTACGGTCCCGGTCCCTGTCCCGGTCCCAGTCCTCGTTCCTGTCTGGGGCAATTTGCAGAGTGCGCTGTCACGATTAATAACGCTGTCATAATAACACTTTTCTGTGATTGATTTAAGACAATTACAGAAAAGAGGAACACAGCGCTCACGTTTGATGATGAGCAATGGGACGAGATGGGCAGATGAAGGGATGTGAATGTGGATGTGGATGTGGAATAGAGTGTTCGCCGGTTCTGAGTGATTGGCGCTGGCCGCAGCGCTTAAGAAAGAGATTATCAAGTTGCCAAATGGGCACGTCCGTCGTTCCGAAGGGGCCAAGGGATTGCGGCCAGGACTGGGAATAGTAATGGGGGAATGAGAATAAGAATGAGAATGGTTGAGCGGATGAGCTGAAGCGACTGCCTGCGAAAAGTGTTGAACCAAGCAGACATGCTAAATTAAGCTGAAGAAGATGGCTATCAACACCACCAACACCGCCAACGAGAGGAGTGGAGTGGTCCAATGCGGCGCGGCGGCAGCATCGGCAGCATCGGCTTGGTGGTGGCTTCTCTGGCCAAACCGCTTGATGTTGATGGCTTGCAACAAGTAATTGGCAGCATCCACATGTTGCCCACAACAACCACAGGAATAATCTGAAACCACAGCCAAAGCCAGGCAACATCCTCATCATCAACTGCATCGTTGTTCGTCCAAGCGTCGCGTCGCTTGTGTCAAAAGGTTTAATTTTTTTCCGATTTTTTTTCTTTTAGGCCGAGACCCCTCCCGCATGTAATAACATTTCATGCTGCGCTCTTTGGTCCTCAACTTGAACCTCTTACATGGCTGACTGAGCTGCTCACAAAACCTCAAACCAGACCAGATCACAGACCATGCCACCAGACCCTGGTCGGGGCGTCAATGTCAGTGCTTCGATTTCGTTTTCGACTCCCTCAGTCCCCTGACACTGTGCCTCTGTTATTGTTATTGTTGTTTCTACTGCCGGTTGCTGCTGGTGCTGCCGCTTCTGCCTTTTGGTTGGGTCAAGTTCAAGGCTTCCCATTTTGCGAATTTTATGCGTTTTTTGCCGCCTCTTGCCAGAGCTGTAAACTCGCCCTAGACCTGGGCCATGGGCATATTTTCTTGTGTTGTGAAATCTAAGTTATGTTTGCTTTTGGCAGCATTCTCTGTTTAATCATAGATGTAGGGACTTAATATTTTAAAATTAAAAAACATTTATGATTTCAAATACAGAAACTCGATAAAGTCCCCATCCATTCGATTCATGATATTTCAATTTTATTACTCTAATTTTTAACCAATTCCCAGAACTTGAAGTTGAAGATAAACAAATGCTCGCAGATGCGTAGATACCCATTCATCGAGCCACTTCCACTTCATTATGAAAACCTTACCTCCTGCTGGTCAGAGCTCTGTTCCATTCATCTTTCAGTGTTTGGCCAAGCCGAATGTCAAATGCCACAGATCGCTCTCAATGTGGAGTCCAATCGATGGGTAAATGCTTTTCCCTAGAATCGAGGAGTGGAGAAAATAGCTTTGTTTTATGGTATGCAATGGGTATAAATTCGTAATATTTGCTAAATGCCGCTAAGAGCCTCTCCACATGGCTTTGACTTTATCCTTTCCCCTTGTTCCTCTGCTGGCAGCACCTACCCCTTTTTGTTGTTCATGATGGACAATAATAATTCTTGGCAAGAGCCATTTTCGTTTACAAATTGCCGCATAAATCGCATATTCGATGAGAGTTCTGTTCTTGGCTGCTTGCCTCAAAAATGCATAAAATGCTAAAAGAAAAGAAAGAAGAAAAAAAATACTTTTGCAGCATGCAATTTCTTTTGCTTCATCGTCATCTGCATCATACTGCCTTGGCTAAAATCCCAAAGAGGCAACCGGCCAAAACCGTTAACTGGCCAGCAAAACGGAGAACAACAGCGGCAGCAAGTCGCTTCAAATAAAGCAAGTCGAGTGCATATAATTCGTTATGCTTTATTACGAAATTGGATATCATGGACGGAAGGACTGGGGGACTGAGACTAAGACTAAGACCAAGACGAAGACTGTGAAACTCCTCCAACAACTTGGGATTCTCCCCCGAGTTGGGCATGAAATTATAGCCGAAAGCCGATTCTGGATTTTTCTCCTGCGGTAGCAACCAAATGACATACTTCTAATTTATGGCCACAGCAGCCTCTTGCTCACCCGATCCATCCCACGTCCCATTGGATCACACAGATGCAGATATTTTTCTCTCTCTCTGCTAGTCTCTGTCTCTGTCTATCTTTTGGGAAGGCTGAGAAACAGCACCAAAACAGAGCAACAGATCGCCCACGGAACTGTGGGTTGGCTGGCAAGACAAAAAGATTACACCACAACCGCTAGATTCCTCTCAAGCTTTGCTCTCGCAGCTACATAATTAGTGCAATGTGTGGACAGGCCACCGCTTCGAGTACATCCCGCAGCGGATCGGATCGGATCGGAGCAGAGCAGAGCAGATCGGATCAGAGAGTTGTGCTAAAGTCAAGTGCACTGCACTGCATCCGATGCCTAGGCCCGGGCATAGCTGAGCGATCGTGATACGGATACGCGCGACGGTTGCTTGTCGATGATTTTATCTGCCTGAGCAATGCGCACACTGAGCCGCCGCCGCCTATCTCCTAGCCTGCTCATGGGTTGGTCTTAAAGTAAATAAAACACAGTCTGCTTGCGGCTACTATTGTGCTCGATATCCTTAGGGTATGAAGAGTATGATGAACTTTGCTCGGGCTTACCGATGGAACTGTGCCAAAAGCGGCTGAGAAGTAATGTAATTTTTTCAGCGTAATTTTTTCATTAACCTCTTGTAAATTTTGAATTTTGTTTTGAATCAAAATCAATTAATAGCCATCAAATTAGTCGAATCCAGAGCTTAAATCGCCGCTTCCTAAGGCCGTTGTGATGCCATAGATACTCGTAAATTGTCGCTTCATGTACAGTTAGCCGTTACAAATGTATTAGCCAGAGGTTGGCTTGGCCAAAAAAAAGCACACACACACACAGCTACACAAAACAAGGCTTGGTGCGAGTGCAACTTGTTTTATGGGGCGCGTGGGTGGGCCATGGTGTGTCATGGACCCAAATCCAGCGTCCCGATTCCTCTTTGTTCATTAACGCTGGCCAAAAATTAGCCGTTCACGATGGGACCGTTTCGCAGATAACTCAATTGAAATGAAAATCACAGCTTGGCCAGCTAACTGTTACCGTTAGCCGGTTGCAACAAGTCCATTTATGGCCGGCTGGCAACAAATTGCTGGATCTTGTTGGCCATGCCCAAGTCGGTCTCGAAACACATTAGAACAGCCATCGAGTCGGATCGATTCGATTCGATGCGATCACCTAATCAGATCAAGCTGCTGGATTTGGTCACAAACACTTAGGCGCCAATTGAGCATCTTTGGCATTTCGTCTAATTAGATAGAAATGCCACAAAATCCAATGAAATTCTCGCGTCTGCGATTGCCACGCCTTATAAACAGACCAGTTCACATCCCCTTCCTCATCCTCGATGATGTGGCACGCAACCATCGCCTTTCTGGTGGCTCCGTCACACGCAACATGTCGCTCTCCGTGGCAGGGGTACGGGCATCCCAGATTTATGTTCTACCCAATATGACCGAAATGCTCAGCGGGATCATCATCATCATCCTGGATGGACTCCATAAAAGTTCTTGTTCTCGTTGTTCGCTCTTCCTGTTGAAATAAAAGCAGCAGCAGGCGAGCAATCGTTCTGAATTTATGTCTGGAAATGTTTAAATTTTGGAGCATATGGATTGGACACAGGAGGGAATCGATCCAATTGAACTCTGTCCCCAGAGGCAATATCGATTTTGGGCAAACGATTAATGATCTGATAATACAAAGATATTTCGTTTGTACAAATAAACATCCTAAGGAAGCTTCCTAAAGGGAGGAAACCTTCAGGGCTGGGATAAGCTGAAATATTTCGGAATATATGTATAATCTTGAAACTGATGCACTTGCATGCAGGTGATCTCAAGTGCATGAATACCCGACACTTTTTGCATCATCTTACTTTTATTATTTATTTTAAATTTAAATTATACGCTTGCCTTGAGAGAAAAGTGCACGGCGCTATGTTTTAAACATTTACTTTTGCTGCTTTTTCTGCCGCAGAGACGGCATGGAGGCGGGCCAGTGGCTCATCGTCCGACTTCATGCACGATTGGCAGTTGCAATTCAAAGATATTTCAAATTCTAAAGCCAGAACCAGAACCACAGCTACAGCTACAGCCACAACCAGAGCCAAAGCTAAAGCCCGCTGGCGATTGCTCTGCTCGGTGCTGGCCTGCTGCTGCATGCGATTTGCATTTGAAATGCCTGTCCGCTGGCTGCTCGAATTTAATAAAAAATGTTTTATTAAGTCATAAAAATATTTTAATATTTTGCTCATCGTCTGAGAAATATGTATGGGGAATTTGCATAACTAAATGCGCATTGCAATTGTGCAATTTTGAGAGCAGAGGCAACCAGGAAGTGCTGCAGAGGCAGCCGACTCAGCAGCCTCATGCAAAGCACTCCGATCCCGCTGCGCATTGTGGGTGATAGTCAAAGGGCTTCTGTAGCTCCATAATGACATATAGCTAGGAGACTTGGTGTGTTCCGTTGGGCCTTCCACTACACACACACACACACACACATCACGCCCAATCAATTAAAGTTTATCTGTCTGTCAGAGAGGGTCCTTGTCACAAAGGCGAATTCCTGGCTGCCTGTTACAGCCGAGAGTCCGAGGGCAATTACACAAATTCCAAGGCATCAATGGGAAGCGGCTATTGGCATTTAAAGTGCCACATCAGAGCGACAACATGGCGTGCCAGTCTCACATAAATCGTTCAGTTCTACACTCCAACGGCCCTACGAATTCCCACTATCAATGCAATGCTCAGTGAAGTGTTCACTGCAGTTGACCAGCGAATTTGTCTAGACTATCACCAATGAAAGATATTTTCCCTCAGCCATTTTAGCTGACAGCTGAGCAGATCTTAAGCGATCCAAAGTGAGAAATACCATAAGCGGTTGAACCGCAAATTTGTCTAGATTTTCCCCAATAAAAATCTTTTCCTTTTCCAGATTGTTCAGCTAATATTCAATTACCATTTTGGCCGAGTGCAGCCCAGGGCAGACATTAACTCGCGGCTCATTAGCGGGCCTGAGAACCGTTTCTGTTTTAGTTTGAGGTCCTCCTCTCGACTCGCATTACCGGGCCAAAGAGATGTTATCGCTAAATTACGGCAATTTGCATGTAAATGTTGTTTATCAATTTAAACGCTAAATGCTTTAGAACTAATGACGGGTGCTGGCCGAAAAGAATAAAGAAATTTTTTCACCCTGCAGCTCTGGACCGAGACTCTGGTAACGGTTCAACTTACTCTTGTACTTACCCCACGAAGGCCCAGTCCCAGTCGCATTCCATAGCTGTGGCTGTGGCTGGCACACGATGTGAGGAGTACTCGTACTTGCGGCTCACATTGTAACAACAATATTAAGGTAATGACGTGTCATTAATTTTATTACAAAATGTGTATGTGAATGGAGGTACCTCGTCCATGGCCATGGCCAGATCCATGTCCAGCTTCGGCCATGAATACAAAATACCCATTTAGCCCATTGGCGTTGTTTGATTGAAATCCCCTTTTTTCTGTTTTTTTTAGACTGCTGGTCTTCCGCGTTTGATGGTGAGTGAAAGCTAGATGAAATTCTTCATCTCAAGTGATCTTCGATCCCATATCTGATGGCGCAGAGGGAAATAGTTGACATCGTGATGAAATACGAGTATATGAGTGTGTACGAGAATGGGAGATATATTCTATGAACTGTGCACTGCATAACTCACTTTCAGTAGAGGCGATGAGGAGGCGATCCCATGCCGATTGCCTCCGTTTTTCATTCTGGGGCAAAGGACAGAGGGCTGCAGAGGCATCGGGCCTGACACTGAAAAATGCAAACAGAAATAAAACAAAAGGCTTAAGCAACAAACTGAGTGATTGCAACTGCTTTGGTATGTGTGTTGGGGCGCTATTTTTAGCCGGCTAAATAGTTGGCATTGGCCCAAAGGATGACCATCCGAGGATGTACAATACACTGGAGCAACCCAGTCGCTGTCTGCTCTGGCTGGCGCGGCGTTGCTATGGCAGCATATTATTTTATAGCCGCGCGCATAAATCTTGCAAACGCAGATAAAAAGAACGTTTTATAGAAAAATAAAAATAAATAAAATGCTCTCCGAAGGGAGACCGGGCAACCGGATTGGTGCGGCAGCTCTCGCATTGATGGAAACAATTTATGGCAAAATTAATGATAGATTATGGTGCTGCCAATTAAAAACCAACAAACAAGCTTACAGTTTATGGACGAAGGCCCATCCCAGCAGCCAAACAGCCCAACAGCCCAATCCCAATCGCAACCAACATCATCTCGTCCCAGTATTGGCGATAGAAATGGAAATGGAGATGAAGATGAAGTGATGGAACTGCCACAAAAGAGTAGGTGTTTAGACGGTGATTTGGTGCTTGTTTCTTGTTGGATGTGTGACAAATTGCCTTGCCAGATGAGGTGACATCATGTCCGGCATGCCCGCAGCCGTGATTCCTGGTAATTAAAATACAATAAAGGGGAATACTCGAGTTGCCTGTTTGATTAATAACCTATAGCCGGGGTCTAACGCATAGGTCTGTTATTAAAATCAGTCAAGCGCAATTAGAACAAAGCAGAACAGAGGAAACCACTGAAATCTATATACAAGAGTATTTCCTTTAAAGGGAAGTCGAAGAAGCCGAATCTTAAGCGGAATTCTTCACGCCTGCTTCTTTTGGCCAACAATGAGATCACCAGCAGAATGCTAAATGCCCAAAACGTTTTTCTTTTGTATGTGATTTGCGATGACTGACTCACAGATTCCAGATCCTTCAAATATGGGGTAATCACACGAATGTAGAATAGAAATAGTCTGATAGTGTCAGCCCTCGGTCGCAGATAAGGTCGCGACAGTGGTTCCTTCTCTTGGAGGAAATGGATGAATCAGGTACCGAATTTGGAATAGTCATAAACCAATCGCACCATGAGTATAAAATGAACTTAAACTGATATTGGTAATTGTTGTCGTAGAGTAAGTAAGCCAGAACGACAGCGATTGAAAGGTAATTAAGTTGCCCTGTTTTTTGTCCGTTTTTGTCTTGGGTTCAAGAAACTGGTGCACGCTTCTTGCCCGACGATGCCAGAATTAGAAATCCAAAGGTGCTGCCAAAAGGCGCCCAAAGTAAGAGTCGACATCAACACCAACAGCGGCGACACAGTTGTGGCATCACAATCGTACAAGAAGGCTAGCAGACAAAATTAATGAAATCACATTGAAAAAGTCATAATTCTTATTGGATCTTCGATGGCCACAGACCGCAGGGAATCATTAAAATCGTGTGTAGCGCTCTTGTCAAACACAGGCCGAACCAAAGGCAGAATAGAAGCTGTGCCAGGGGGGGCATCGGGAACGGCAGTGCTCGATCAGCACGCGATTTGTAAGAACAAGATAGCACCGACATGTACATTGAATTCAAGAATCGAACACGAGGGAGCGGTACAGAGACACAGCCGCCACAGTTATGAATCATTACGCAAAAGCCAAGTGCAAAAGGAAATATATGAAATAGAACAACAACTGAAGGCCGGGTTGGAGGTCCGAATCTTTAAATACGCATGCAAATCCGTCTTTCGTTTTCATTCCGTTCTTCGTGGAGAACATATAAACACATTCATACATACATATGTACATACATACATTTGTGAATTCGTCTGTTGATTATTGTGTTTATTTGTTTGCCCAATCGAACATAAGAACACTCATCATTTTGTTTCTCCAGGGCACTTTTATATGGATCTGGATCCAGAAATGTTCTGCTAAACCATACATTTGAGATTAGCGAATTGATCCCACATTTGACTAATGATGTGCTATACAGTTATTTTAAGAAGATATCGCGGGCTGTGCACAGATACATATACATACATATAATGCGAGTACATGTGGTACGTACCTGTATATTTGTAATTTGCACTGCAGTTGCTTTCGGTTATAGGCACATTACTAATGATTAGACGCCGAGCTTGCAAGCTGCATGTATCGTGGGCGACAGCGCGAGAGTGAGTGAGAGTGTACAGTCCGCTACTATCAAGGGCTGCCACGATTAGCTGCTATCGCTTTTGATAAAGCATCGCGGTCTTCATTTAAGGGCAAGTACACAATTAAAAAATAAAATTTCTTATGTACACACGTACATACAGATTGTAAATATAAAGAGAGAGAAAAAAAAAAAAAAAAAAACATACGTACATACATATGTATGTGAATTTAAACCATGGCTCGGCACGGCTCTATCTATTGTGCAGTGCTCACATATGTAAGTATGTAACTCGATCTAATTTAAGGGAAAGCCCAAATATTAATATTATACACTGCAGTGTACAAAAGAGCGAAAACTAGACCCAATCATACCAGTATATATTTGACACAAGTTGCCATCGGTCGATCCAACGAAATAACTGGAACAGAAATTTCCATTGAAAAAGAAAATGTCCGATTTTTCCAAAGTAAAAAGAGTTCTTGTTATCTACACTGGTGGCACCTTTGGCATGGTGCTTAACGACGTTGGTGGTAGGTGCATCCAAATGGCTCCCGTTCAGTGATGCTTTTAGACATATTTTAGTATTGGTACCTGAGCCGATGGCTTTGGAGAACTTCCTCCGGTAAGATGACAGCCTTCACGACCCCAATCTACGGGTACCGGAGGAACATCATCTCTTGGCGCTGCCCCTGGTAAAGGGCGAATCGAACCGGGTTCTCTACAAAATCAAGGAGTATGATCCGTTGCTGGACTCCAGTAATATGGCGGGGAATGATTGGATGCGTATAGCCAAGGATATTTCTGTAAGTGTGGAAAATTATTATGAGAATTAATCCCATTAATCCCAGAAATCGTTAAAACACAGTTGATGTACGAATTGTTCGATGGATTTGTTGTAATCCACGGCACCGATACGCTGGCGTATACTGCCTCTGCCCTGTCATTTATGCTGCATAATTTGGCTAAGCCGGTGGTCGTTACCGGGTCGCAGATACCCATCTACAAGACGTGCACCGATGCCAAGAACAACTTAGTCTCGTCACTGCTCATTGCCGGCTGCTATGAAATACCGGAAGTGTGCGTCGTCTTCGCCAACAAACTGCTTCGTGGCAATCGAACGGTCAAGGTTAATTGCAACGCTATGGAAGCTTTCGATTCTCCTAATGCTCCGCTGCTGGGCACATTAAATAGTGTCATAAATATAAATAGATCGCAGATACGCCCAGCACCCAGAGACAAGCTCCTTGCTGTGACAGGTGTCTTGGAGAAGAATTTGGCCATCTTGAAAATAACTCCCGATATTTCAATTAATGTGATTAGATCGGCTCTGGAGGAGCCTATTATGGGCGTTGTCCTGGAGTCCTATGGCTCTGGAAATATACCCTCAAACAGGACCGAAATAATTGAGCTTCTACGGCAAGCTGTAGATCGAGGTGTTATCATTGTCAACTGCACTCAATGCCTGTCCGGCTCAGTAGCCGCTATTTACGATGCTGGAGCAGTGGTTGAAGGTGTGGGAGTTTTATCCGGTTCGGATATAACTTCTGAGGCAGCGTACACCAAGCTTGCCTATGTACTGGGGTCAAATGTGCCACAAAATCGTAAAATTGAGGTACTCTACAATCGATAGCAATTCACTACTCGTATAACGAAACTCATTTCAGCTTATGAAATACAATTTACGAGGCGAGATGACGGTGACAGCATAATGATACCGAACGGACTAAATTCAATTAAGGGACTTCCCCCCATGCGGATATACAGTTATGAACATATTTTAGGAACAATTTATTGGAATATATTACTTAGAAAGTAAAACGAACATAATGACATCATTATTTATTATCTTGTTTTCTGTTTTCACCATCGAGTGGCCTGTCCGCCTGCCTGAATTACGCTACCAAGGGCCCTCGAAGATCTCAATATTCCACTAACTCATGAAAACATTGCTTCTGGACAGCTGCTGTTACGGCGTGGGTATTTTCCAAGTGGATCTCAATGTAAATTCGCTAGGTGTGTTTGCGATTGGTGTCCATTGGTGTAGACCAGGCTCGATCGGGTCACACGCCATTTCTATTGGGTACATATCTCAGTACCAAGAGTTGCCCACTATTAATAGGGGCAGAGAAGGACAATTGATCATTACAATTTTCGCCAAAATTTTATATACTTTAAACGAGTTACGTGATATTTATTGCTGACCATCATTTCCATTTCGTAGAGCTTAACCCAATGCTAATGAAGTGAGGACTTGGATGAGATGCCGCAGCTTTAGCCATATACATATAACCATAATCTATAGTCACAGACAACTGTCAGGCCTTCTGCCCAATGAGGGGGGTCTTGGACCTTCAACTATGCTGCTGATCAAACCCCAACCGATGCAAGTGCTTGGCGTGTGTCTAATTATAAATGTCATCAATATGGCTTTAAAGTTTAAACACATTTAATGCCTTTTTAAAACACTCCTTAATAAGCATTGCTTTGAATAAATATTGCAAAAGCCTATTCAATTCCATGAATGGATAATACCTTTAACATATGTTTAACAAACAAATTAACAAATCACCCAACCTTGAAGTCTTGCCAATTTTAGCGAATATTTATCAAGTCAATATGGGAACAGAACTTTCAATCGAACAATTTATGAAACATTCAATAGAGACAAAAACTTAAACATTTTTATTGTTTTCATGAAGGTAAAAATGTTTCATATGAACTAAAAAGTAACATTTGTAGTGTACATTTATTTAATGAATTTAATATGTTAAATAAATGAAATATTTCTATATTTAGCTTTATGTAAAAATAAAGCATGCCTAATTAATTGTATTGAATTTTAATAATTTTTTTATTTATATTTTTAACTATTTGCAAACGCTCTAGAATTTCTTTTTCCACAGGGTAAACAAACTGCAAGCTTTAATTGAGAAATTAACGTCGCATTTTCAATTAGGTGACACTTCTGAACGAGTTGTTCACAAAGCGAAAACCGTTCCAGGTCATGTCAGTGCAGGTGTAAATGGAGCAGTTGAGGTGACAAACTGTGACCGAACGATACAATACAATACAAATATACAATTTGTCTAAAAATAACCAAAATAAACATTTTCTTGAAATCCATGACTGTAATCTAAATAGAGTAAAAGCAGATATCCAATTGACATTTATTTTGTGAGATTGGAGCACACCTTAAACACGATTAACTATGACTTCATCCCAAATTTTTGCTCATAAATTTAGCGGCCACTCCAAGAACAAGACTCATTCGGAAAATTGAGAGTTTCCGTTGATTTGAATCTGACATTTGTAGTCGAATGCTGCACATGCTGATCGGTAGAGTTGAAAAGATTTTCCATGTCACAACTCATTGAGTGCACAGAATGCCAAAGCCGCAGCAAATCAATGTGACATCCGCACCACTAGATCATGAGCAACGGCTCGAATGAAATTTGGACCAATTGTGGAAAATGGAAATGTCCATGTAGTGGAAGAGCAGGCGGACAATCCGCCGCATCAACGGCCTTCCATTATCATCAGCATCAACTCTAACGATGCTTCAAGCCACCGGGGGAAATATCACTTTGGCGTAATTATCTGTTAATTGCCATTTAATGTACTGGGCTGGCCTGGACAGTTCTGGGGACGCGTGTCAGTGATGTACCGCCCCCAGCCGCCTCGGCTTCTCCCTCCGTCAAGGTCGTTTAGTGCGCCGGGTGCGTGTTTATGATGAGCTCATAGTGTACACATGTTCTGGTCTGGGGAAGTGCACCTGCTACCAGTTTGTTTTGCATTTCAATTGTCACACAGCACCGTGGAACGTGCATAAAGAATGGTAGTCATAGCTTCTCAAGGAGAGAAGAAAATTTAAAACTAAATTTAGATTTTTATCTGCTTCTAAAAAACTTGTCAAAATAGTAAAAAAAAAAATTGAAAATAATTTCATTTAACGCGTATCACCTACTGTGCAGTTATCGGATTGACTGAACAGTCTTTAAATATATTTTTTTTCAAACCTCATAAACCTCACAATCGGCATATGACATGGCGCATGATACAGCAATGAGGCACAGGCCGGGGACCCGCCCCGTTTCGCACACATGACAATGCATGGATGGGCAGACGCCTGACACAAGCCAAGCGAGTTTTACATATTTTATTTAATTGAGTACTTTGGATGGAAAAATAAAAACCAAAAGAAGAACCCAGCAGCACTGAACAAGTCACGTTGCAGCATTCAGAGGCTATGATGTGCATAATGATGACGACATCGGTGCCATAAGTATTTATGGCTTCTAATCACAAGTCAAAACACTCAAAACTCAAATCAAACAATGTACTACCGGAGCTGCTTCAGGCACCAAGTATCAGCCTCGACAGATTTTACTTCTTAAGTACATGGCTTATCGCAATCGATGCCCGATTGGCATTTGCATTAATTAAATAGCCTCATGCTTATAGAGATGTATGGCTTAAGTATTTGTATGAAATCATAAATGGGTAATTCTATTCTCCAAAAGGGGTATGTTTTATTTATGTTTGTATTTGTTCGCATTGGAATCTTTTTAATGTGTAATTAAACATGTTTTTATATGGTTTTATGTGTTGTGTTTGTCTAAAAGATTCATTAGATTGTACATGTGTATCGCTACAATAATGTGAATATGTTTATCTGATATTAAATGCAAGTACAATGTCAAAATCTCGATTCTTTTCTGTCTAATCATAATTTATCCTCTCTTCTGAATAAGGTTAGCAGTTTCTGGGCTCAAAAGTCAGCACAACGATGCTAATATGTGGTAGATGCTTACTTGTTTAAGTAGAACAACCCATAGGGCATATCACAGTCTCCTATGAAAGCCCATCGAGAACTTAGCATCATCGTGCCCACATGCTTTCGAAGTTGCAATTTAATGCTATTAAGAAAATGGATTGTTATTTGCAAAAGCCTCTCCACCACAAGCTGGGCCGGCTGGCCAGATGGCAGGCACTTTCCAGAGTGGGAGGGAGAGTCATTGATCTGAGCAACACCTCGTTTGCCTTAGCCACTTAACACTTTGACCAGCTGACAGTCCGAATGGCTGACGGCTAGGCAAAGTCGTTAACTTTGACATGTTCATAACAATTGGCCGAAAAAAAAGACCCGACGACCAATTACGGAGCCCTCTGGCACTGCAATTTATGCTCACTGTGCACAGGTTGCTGTTTGCCACTATCAGCTTAATGTACATCTTCCTTTCAAATGATTTCCCCTTAACCTTAAGGCCAACTATAGAAATAGAAGAGTACGACCGTGGCTATGGACACGGACACTGACACGAACACTGGGCAACCGAAAACAAACCCGTTTAGCATATTGGTTAATGTTTGGTATTTACGATAACCGACAACTTCCTTTGACGCCCACTGCAGCCAGCCAGCCAACTTCGTTGTCCTCTGTGATCCATCACAAAAGCGAACTCCCAAAATAAAAGTCCAGAAACCAAGACCAAAAGCTATGGCTAGAAAATACTCTTGCCAAACTGTATGATGATGATGGCTCAGCGACCTCTCTGCATTCGTGGCGACTCTGGCTTGGCCCCAAAAAGCAGAATATTCAACTTTGTGCAGCTGTGGCCAGGTTACCCTTAAGTGGAGTAATGAACTTTTCCTCCGATTGTTGCTATTGCTGTTGCTTTTGCTGTTGTTTGAGGCCATTACGTCAAATGCGCTGCATGCATGCAACTCCTCCGTGCCCCACTCTGATCTTCTGATTTTCAACAAATTTACAAATGCAAGCAGCAAGTTCACCGGGGAGACAGCACAGTGCGAGGCCTGGGCCTCTTATTGCAATTTTAAGGTTAAGGTTTCGATTTTGTTTTTGTTTTTGGACCAGGCCGTTGAAAACAAGGAAGTAAACTAGTCGCCCACCGTTCGATAATAGTCAGTCATTCCGGTTTAACAGAAGGTTGGGGGTTGGGTTTCTTCGTTCGTTTCATGCAAATGGATGCTCTGCTACTCCTTACTCTATTCTAGTCTAATGAAAGTTTATGGTAATTCGGTTTTATAAGCAAATGACGTAAACTTTTGTTCGTTTTTACTCTTAAATGTCCTAAACGTTGGCCATAATGATTGCTTATTGAAAAATTCCACTCACTAACTAGCCAGCAAGTGGAGGAATAAGTCTTTTGGGCTCACTCCAAATGAGTTGGCCAGCGATGGGAGCAACAACCAAAGTAAGATCGTGCACTAGGTCTTCTGATTTCGAAGTCACTGAGGAACGCCCGCGCACCTTTGCATATTTCTAGATAGAATTTTCCCATGCAATTTTCCACTAATTGCTGCACGCAGGCACCGTAATACAAGTGAAGATCGCTGCCACAGTGCTTTCTTTCTCGCGCCCAAGCACGAACAGGAGTGACCACATTACGTGGCGCAGGCCCAGGTCTGCGTCCTAATTCTGGTTTTGCAGCGAATCGCTTGGGAAAGGGATTTGGGTTTATTCAAAATATTTCAAGTATTTCGATAAAATTCTGCACTAATTTTGGCAATAATTTAGATGGTTTATTTCGATTCTGAACGTGGGAATAACTAGAACGAAATAAGATAGATTAATATTATCGTTTAATTGTTTTGATTCCCACTTGGACAGACCGAATTTTAGCTAGCAAACAAAACTAAAAGTCTCGTGTCTCTGCCAGAGCCAGAACCTCGGTGGTCAAAGTTGTCACTGGTCGTGTTCGCATGGGTCGCCACAGCAAATCAAAGTCTGGGCCATGCCATGCCA